AAGGCACATATGGCTCACTTCTGGCAATGGCAGGAGACATATGGGCCAGATGTGGCCCGTATGTGTCACACCGGGTGTAGTGTGAGTTGTGGCCTGCTGTATGTGGGCCAGATGTGGCCCGTGTGTGACACCCCGGGTGTAGTGTGAGTTGTGGCCTGCCGTATGTGGGCCAGATATGGCCCGTGTGTGACACACCGGGTGTAGTGTGAGTTGTGGCCTGCTGTATGTGGGCCAGATGTGGCCCGTGTGTGACACATCGGGTGTAGTGCGTGTTGTGTATTTTTAGTTCCGGTTTAACTTTAAATTAACGGGAGCCTTTGAAGTGGTTACAAATTATTAGAAATTGAAAATCAAAGTTAATTTGTCTTTCTAAGTCTGTACACTTTCATTTTATGAAGTAGAAAATAGAAAATAAATATTGTAAATTAATGTACTGTGATGCAAGGATTTACATTTTTCCGATTGGCTACTTCTGCCTGTGGACTGCATACCTAATGAGTGGGAGGGGCTTGCTGCTCAAACAAAACACAGACTCTGATGTGAAGCATCAGCAGTTCTGTGTTTCCTGTGTTTTATTAACATTATTGTCCCTCATTAGGCAGTGAGAGCGCTACACCTTCTCTGAAAATAATAACATTGCATGTTCTAAATAAGACTTTCTGAGATTGAAAATGATTCTTTAGGTTATTAAGAATAGGAATAAGCTATTGCTTATCAGGGAAAGTATATGTTTGTAACCTTATCACATATTAATTCAGTTTATTTCCTCAATAATGGATTTATTTTTACTTTAAGGCTGCTATGAATATAAATTTATATTATCTGTTATATGTAAATGTTCCAGCATGAGTAAAATTCTTTTTTTTTTCATATTACCTGGTATGTCTATAAATGTCTATAAATGCAACGAGTTTCATCATTTATTATGCTTTGATCTATTAATGTTTTGTTCAGTTTCTCCATTTGAATGAATTAAGACAGTGTCCTACCGCCACCTACTGGGTGGATTTAATTTGCTATTAGTACTACTTTTTAATGAACAATTTTACAAATGAATTCATAATCTAATAATGCTGAATTAAAGTGCTGTTTTCTTGGTGTTACTTTTTGCAATTCTACATTTTTATAATGATTTTGTTTGATTAAATGCCACATACAACATTGTTCTTTTTTTATTTAATTTGAATATTAAATAGACATAAATGTTTTGTTTATGAATAAAATAACTATATAGAAAAAAATGTCAGAGAACTGAGCAGTAGAATGTGAATAACATGAATGTGTTCATGAATAAGCTGATCTTTGTAAACAAAACAAGTTTTATTTACTTATTCTACAGAACACAAAAAATAATAAAAATAAATCTGACCAATTTTAATGCGCACACCTAACCCCGCTCCTAACCCGACCCCTCACTTTGATGTCACTAGCTCTATTTGAGTGCATTGTTTCTGACATTGCATGTCAAACTGTGTGTCTCAGCTTGCATATGCAAGTCTGCAATCAGATACTAATGCTTCTGCAACACAGCCCTGAGGGTACAATCCACAGTGCAGGGAAACACCACGCATTATCTTAACCACAAACTACAGCAAATTTAGTTTATCCAAAATTCACTTATACTGCAAATTTTTGCACTATGGAAGAAACTGGAAACCAACAGAAACAACATGCAAACTCAACATAGAAAGGCCCAAAAGTCTATCCTGGTTCTGTGTGTGTGCACCTGTAACAGCGTCAACAAATTTTATAGACAATATGCTATCAATAAGCATGTTAATTAGCAATTAGTTGATTGTAAATATATCTTAAAGTGTTATAGTTTTTATATAACAAGCTACTGAATATTAAAAATAACAGTAAATATTTTAGAATTACAGCATGTTACATAACAGAGCAAGGACATGTTCACAGTATGTCTGATAATATTTTTTCTTCTGGAGAAAGTCTTCGACTAGAATAAAAGCAGTTTTTAATTTTTTTTAAAGTGTTTTAAGGTCAAAATTATTAACCCCTTTAAGCTATATATTTTTTCGACAGTTTCAAAACAAATCATTGTTATAAAATAACTTGCCTAATTACCCTTACCCTAATATATATATATATATATATATATATATATATATATATATATATATATATATATATATATATATATATATATATATATATATATATATATATTTATATATATATTTATATATATATTTATTTATTTAAAAACATTATCATAAACTGCCCCCTGGTGGCGAATATGTGTTTTGCTTCATCCTTGCATTACGGTGGAGTGGGCGGAGCCTCGTGAATGACGGTTAATTTTTTCAAACGAGGAAGTGAAGTCAAGTCCGCCATTTCATCTTCTTCTTTTTATCGGGTAAGTTATTATTTTAAAATCATATTTGTGAGATATTTGTCGTCAGGTAATGTTTTTATTAGTTAAAAAAGCCCCTGTTTTGAATAGTGATAAAACTGTAACTTATATGTGGATAATATGGCTAAAAACTGATGGCTAAGAATGATGGCAGCCGTCAGTTCAGTAACGTTAATCTGTTAAGTTGATTGTGCTCGGGGTTTTAACAAATTCATTTAAGTTACAATTGTCCTTTTACGCTCGTCATTCCCAATTAAATGATCAATAAGACGTGTTATATGAAGAACAGCGTCGAAACGGGAGCTTGAATGAATGAATCAAATGCTGTCCGTTTTATACAGTTGTTATTGGTGCCGAGTTCTGCTTTTGTACTGGTTTTAGCTCAAACACTGAACGAACAGTCTCTTTTTGGTAACGTTAATCCTAATGATCTTGATTTGCTTGTTAATGTGTGTTTTATCAAGTTTCAGCAAACGTTTACAGAGTAACGTTATGTGGTTCATGCTGGCCACTGTTGAGACTGGTCTGCATTAAAAAAAATTTAAAGCAAAAACGTTTGAAAAAAAAAAAATCCACAGTTGAAACATAATGTGTTAAATGACTTATGAAGGAAATTAATTAGCTAAAAAAGAAGGCTAAGTGTGTTATGAAATATTAAACCTTGTTAAAAAATAAAATCAATTGTGTTAAATAAGCTTAAAATCCATATCTTATGTTTTATATTACTTTAAAACGGCCTGGAAACTGAATTGCACCATTAATCTTGTACATATGCATCAAGTCCAAACAAATGGTTTTGTGGCAAGTAAAAATAATATTTTTATAAATTGATTGTATTGTATTAATTTGTTACAGAAAAGAAAGGAATCATGCAAGGATGCAAGCTGAAGGAAAGGACAACTCTCACATCAGTGCATTACTAATTGTTTGACTTCATCATCAAGCACACCAGGTACAATATTGTACATATTTTGTAACTTGTATATGTCAGACTGGTTGTTGGGAACTAAAATAATATATTTTATGTTTTATTTATTATTAAAATATTACAAGATTTATTGCTGCTATTTTATCACTGTGTGAGGTCATAGCTTATTTAAAATATATATTATTAAAAAAATCTAATTTGAAAGAAAGTCTAAATGTTTCCACAAGGTAATTTATTAAACTGTTTTCTGAAAATGTAAAATTTGAAAGTATTGGTGAGCTGGAAAAACAGTCTGTTGACGTAACTTTTATTTTTATCTTATCTTTTTATTTTATGTTAAAAGTAGATTAATTTACCTTGGATCGCATGTTTCAGTTATAATTTCAGAGTGAAAAATATAAAAGAAAACCATTGAAAACAATGGCATAATGATTTTGCTTGTTCACAAGAGGTACTTGATTTATTTTTCCTGTAGTGATACATAAGTTTTTAAGACTAATGCTTGACACTTAAATTTTAAAGGGATAGTTCACCCAAAAATAATGACATCTTTTATCCTCCACTTGTTTCAAAATATTTTTTTTTGTTCTGTTAAACATAAACTCAGGTGGTGCGGTGCACAGTGGATAGCTCTGTTGCCTCCCAGCAAAAATGTTTCTGGTTCGAGCCTCGGCTGGGTCAGTTGGCATTTCTGTGTGAAGTTTGTATGTTCTCCCCGTGTTGGCGTGGGTTTCCTCCAGGTGCTCCTGTTTCCCCCACAAGACATGCGGTACAGGTGAATTGGGTAAGCTAAATTGTCCTTAGTGAATGTGTGTAAATGAGAGTGTATGGGTTTTTCCCAGTGATGTGTTGCAGCTGGAAGAGTATCTGCTGCGTAAAACATGCTGGATAAGTTGACTGTTCATTCCACTTTGGTGACCCCAGATTAATAAAGGGATGAAGCTGAAAAAAAATGAATGAACACAAACCCAGCTTTTCCTACTATGTTAATCAATAGTTACAGGTTTCTAACATTCTTCAAAATATCTGCTTTAGTGTTTAACAGATTCAAACTGCTTTGAAACAAGTAGAGGATGAATAAATGGTGGCAGAATAGTAAACTATATCTTTAAATGTTTTATTCTGTATGTTATGTGTATTCATATTTGTCTTGTCTTTTGTCATATTGCCCTTTTAGCTCAGATTGTGATGGACCTGGAATGCGACACCAGTTACTCTTAAAGCCTGATTTATACTTCTGCGTCAGGGGACCGGCATAACCCACGGCGCATGCAACGCGCGTGGCTGTGCATTTATACTTCTGCGCGCTGTCTCTGTCGGTCTGCATTAACACTTCCGAAACGCTAGTTGGCAGTGAGGTTTAAATGTTCCTCTGTGTCGAGTTTCTTCGCTGCTTTTTTGCTTTTCCTGAACACTTCCGGGATGTACAAGTGGCTCAAACTCGCTCATTTTGAGGCAGGAACCGGTGGACGTACAACAACTTTAACTATGAGGTAAACACAAAACAAAACTTTCTATCCGGAGCTCCTTCACGGTACTCCACACTTGTAAACAATCGCTCGCTCACATTCGCGCTGCTCTCGGTCCCGCCCAGACTCGTCAGCGCTACCAAGCCGACCAATCACAGAGCTTACGCTAGGCGTCGTTGCGACTTGTAGTTGCATTTTTTGAGAAGTGCACGTCAGTGACGGCTACGGCGAAGGGCTATGCGTCAGCGCCATAGCATACGCCGGCGTTTGACGCAGAAGTATAAATCAGCCTTAAGTCAAGAACCAAATGAAGCACCAGAGTACAGATTATGGAGGTATCTGAAGTTGAACTAACTGGAAGCAGGGAACCATACTAATAAAGTTCCTTAAGGTAAAAGCACCTGCTTTATTTTGATAGGAAGTATTTTTTTATAGAGTTCTATTGTTTTATTCTTATTCTAATTTTATTTTATTCATATACTGAATTGAAGTCATTCAAATTTCACAACAAATGATTTGCAGATTGAATATAAAATATAATGACATTTTAATGCATTATTTCTTTTGGTTATTCTTTACATCTATATATGGGCAAGTATTTAATCAATGAAAATAATTTTAAACAACTTAACTAAACAAATTACTCTGTTGGACCCTAATATTTAAAATAGCAAAATCCTCAAACTAACACACACTCTTGTGAATGCATTCTCACATTCATACACTCAAAAACACACATTCATACAACAGTCTGTCTCAGTCTGACTCACACACAACATCCTCTCCCACATATTTTTCTAGCAAACCTCCACCACAAGCTTGTCCTTTTATGTTGCTTTTATTTCAAATATTTTAGAGCATGATATAGTCCAGGTTTTTATCACTAAGTATTTTTTTTTCCATTCAGCAGGTTCCTTGTAAAGATTAACCCAGGGAAGGATCGAAAGTGGAGAAGACCAGATCAAGAAAGACTACATCAAGATCTGCGGTCAGTTCAAAGGTACTTTCACTAATTACCAAGATTTCAGACTATGAGTTGATGGAGAAAACTTTGAGTGTCAGATCTTCCTACATCGCCTAGCAAAAATTCTTCCCAGTGTCTTGTAGTAGAAGTGATGTAGTCAATCGAGTTTACATTATTTCGTAAATTGCTTTCTGATTTAATAAAAAATATATTAACCAAACTTGATTAATGTAAAAATTTTGATGAAAAGGGCATGTTTTACTAGAGCTTTTAGCACAAAGGCACCCCCATCTTGGAATATTGCTCTGTCTGACGTCACGGGGTTGGTATGCTAGAAACGTTTTTGAATGAGGTATTTGTATGATTTATACATAGTCTGTCTTAAAGCGTCACTAAATTGTATAGGCATTACAGGTCAAAGCAATCTGTTGTTACATTTATCAAAATAAACAATAAGGCTCTTAAAACACTGCTTTGAAAAATGTAGAAAATGTAAAACAAATATTTCAAATATTTTATAATATTAATAATATTATGAGGAAGTATAAAACCTTCCTAAGCTTGAAAATATACCAAACTTCCTTAAAGGAAATAAACTTCCTTTGTTAGTGCAAATTCCTTTTTATGTAGTCTTGTAATTAAACAATTAAACCATTCAAACAAGTTTTGAATTTTCCAAATGTAACTAGCTAAAATAGTACCATGTACTTTTACTCTGTATTAGTATTATTTACTAAAATTTGTTTTATTTTAGCAATATAATAGTATTTCTAGTCCTTTAATTTAATGTAATTTAATTTTCAGTTCTCTTTCCATCTACAAAAACATTAAAAAATAATTTCACAAGCACATTTAAAATAGGTTTAATACTATGAAATATTATATTAATATTATTTTTTATAAATTGATAGGTAGTTCCTATGGAATGTTTTTATGTATCGCTGAGAATACATTTCAGGTGTTCAATACGTTGCTTGTCAGTCTTAAAAATAAAAATAGGTGCTGAAAAAAGTGCTTAAAAGTCCTTAATTTTAATCGAGTTGTGCCATATGTACTCTGCAAACAGCACCTTTTAATTGTTGTCTTCTCTGATTTTCAGGATGTTTTGCATTGGACTGTTTTTTTTGGCTTTGACCCTTGCTTGCCCCTGACCTCACTCTTGGACTGCCCTGTTGGATTTTCAGTTTATTTAATTAAAAAAAAAAATTTTTGGTTATGGGTAGATGCTAATAAATATTTAATTGTAATTATTTAATGTAAATCAAAGGCGGCAACACCAAGGCTCCAAAAATACAAATTTATTAAATTAAAAAGGCTGACACAGAGCGTAAAATGTTTCGAGCCGCCGGCTCTTCATCAGACAAATAATTTTTCGTTGTAATTTTTTAAATAATATGTTTTTGTTAAATATGCGATTTCTGTGTTTGTTCTGTCTACTCGAACTTGTTTATCTGGTTTCTGTAATTATCATTTGTTTATTTGACCCTTGCCTCGCCTCTGATCTTGTTTTTGGATTGCCCTTCATATATCTTTTTAATTATTGGTTCTAGTTATATGGTTATAAAATATTTGTTAATTTAATTAATATGCATTATATTAAAAAATACATATAAATATATTTTCTGTGTTTTTTTCTGTATCTATTTATCTACTTTGTATATACATTTGTGTTTGTATGTTCTTCTTATTCTGTATATCCACTTACCTAATTTTACCTTTTATATATATATTTATTTGCATTTAATTTGTGATTATTCTGGATGCATTTATTTATCTAATTCATATATTTATATGTATTGCATTGATCAATCTGTTGTTGTTTTTTTTTTGTATGCATCTATTTATATAATTTATATAAATTATATATTTGTATTTATCAATTTATATGCTTCCTTTGAAGCAATTTTTTAAATAAAGCAATTTAAACTAAGCATTCCTTTTAATGTGATTTATATAGCTACCAAATGTAGATGTCAGCCACATCTAACCCAAAAGTCAGCCGCAACTGAACAAGATCTGGGCCAGATCTGTGAAATTGCATGGGCCGCATCTGGGCCAGATCTGAGAAACTGCATGGGCCGCAGCTGGGCCAGATTTCAGAATTTGCATGGGCCGCAGCTGGGCCAGATCTAAGAAAATGTATGGGCCACATCTGGCCCAGATATGGACCAAGCTTTTTCTGAGATATGGCCCAGATCTGGTTCAGTTGTGGCTGACTTTTGGATCCTTATGACAGCCACAATCAGGTTGAGTCATCGCCGTCATTCCGCGCTGTATGTGGGCCAGAAGAAAGTGGGGGATGTGGGCCATATCTGGGCCAGATGTAATTTGCTATCAGTGACCAGCATGGGATTGCTGGTCACTATCAGCGCCAGCATCCCAGCTGCATCTCATGCTGGTGACCAGCATCCCAGCACCAGCATTCCATGCTGGTCACCAGCATAGCACCTAAATCCCAGCAAGACCAGCATATGTTGTGTTTTGGTGCTGGTGACCAGCATGGGATGCTGGTGACCAGCATGGCCAGCATCCCAGCACCAGCATTTCATGCTGGTCACCAGCATAGCACCCAAATCCCAGCAAGACCAGCATATGTTGTGTTTTGGTGCTGGTGACCAGCATGGCCAGCATCCCAGCACCAGCATTTCATGCTGGTCACCAGCATAGCACCCAAATCCCAGCAAGACCAGCATATGTTGTGTTTTGGTGCTGGTGACCAGCATGGGATGCTGGTGACCAGCATGGCCAGCATCCCAGCACCAGCATTTCATGCTGGTCACCAGCATAGCACCCAAATCCCAGCAAGACCAGCATATGTTGTGTTTTGGTGCTGGTGACCAGCATGGGATGCTGGTGACCAGCATGGGATTGCTGGTCACTAGCATACCAGCGCCAGCATCCCAGCAGCATCTCATACTGGTGACCAGCATCCCAGCACCAGCATTTCATGCTGGTCACCAGCATAGCACCCAAATCCCAGCAAGACCAGCATATGTTGTGTTTTGGTGCTGGTGACCAGCATGGGATGCTGGTGCTTGTATGCTGGCCACCAGCATAGCAGCAGCATCCTATGCTGGTCACCAGCATCACAGCACCAGCATCCCATGCTGGTCACCAGCATAATAACAGCATCACAGCACCAGCATCCCATGGTCACCACAGCATAACACCAGCATCCCATGCTGGTCACCAGCATAGCACCAGCATCCCATGCTGGTCATCACAGCATAACACCAGCATCACAGCACCAGCATCCCATGCTGGTTATCAGCATACCAGCACCAGCATCCCATGCTGGTCACCAGCATACCAGCACCAAAACACAACATATGCTGGTCTTGCTGGTGACCAGCAATGCTGGTCTATGCTGGTTTTTTCAGCAGGGCAGATCAATATTATCCTGTCTATTCTACCTAGTTACCTATCTGTTCGTATAAATTAACTTTTTTTTACTTTTAATCTGCACCACGGCCCGCAGCAACTTCCTCCTATGCTGTTTCCTTAACCTGCAAGTCTTTATGTTACAAATTATAAAGAATATCTGCTTCTCAAGCTCTATGAGGAGTGTCATTCATGTATTTTAAGATGGACTCGGTCAGAAGAGAATCGCATGAGATATCATGACATTGTGTTTTTGATCGTCAGCATGATGTAGACTTATAGTGACAATAATATTTATACAATATGGTTATTAGAATGATATTAAAACATGACCAAACTAGTGTGCAACTTAAGCAACTTTTTTTTTTTACATTTGGTTTTGTAGTTAGGGCCCAAACAAATATTGGTAACACTTTACAATAAGGTTTATTAGTTAATGCATTTACTAACATGAACTAATAATGAACTACTGTATTTTCATTAACTAATGTTAACTAGCATGAACAAATATGTGACGGGTGTTAATAAGAGTATTAATTTAATGCATTTCACTAATAGTCCCTCCTTTTTAATTTTCGTGCATTTGTTTTGCATCAATTTGTTTAGACATATGTTAGAATTTAGTTTTTACTCTATTTGTGTTGTTTAATGAAAATAGTTTTATATTTGTTTTGCGCGCAACGTTACTTCCGGTTGCCGCGCAACGTCACTTCCGGTTGCCGCGCTGGGTTCTCAGACCGCATTGAGCGCGCCGAGGAGAGGTGAGCTTTTAATGGTGCTCCAAGGAAAATCGTTCTAAAAGTTGTCAGAACTTTAAATAAGCTTTAAATATGCGATTGTATTGTTTGTAAGAGTGTTCTATATTAACTAGGAAGTACTTTTCTTCATGTGGATGGATAAAATTAATCACTTTACTGAGCACAGTTGATTGAGTATGTGTGTATAAGTATGTATACTGGACACAGTGATTTCGAATGACCTTCTAACACTTTGTAACTGCTATTTATTTGTTAGGTGGGGAAATTTACAAACGAAATCATATCAACTTACTGTGCTGTTTTCTGATTCATCCAGGTATTGTTTTATGTACATTTATGCTTCTTTGTGTTTACATTTGTTTCGCAATTACATTAATTTCTAATATAAAGTTAGATAGGGGAAGATTAATTAATATCACAATGTATGGAACTGTAATCATTTGTTATTTTTATTTATTTACTTTTTGTACTTTTGTGATCTGTTTACCCAGTTTTAATTGGGTATGATGTTATTGTTATGTTTGCTCAGACCGCATTGAGCGCGCCGAGGAGAGGTGGGGAAATTTACAAACGAAATCATATCAACTTACTGTGCTGTTTTCTGATTCATCCAGTTTGCTCTGATCTGACGCTTGAGTGACAATAAACCCACCATCAGCAGTACCAGTGGCCTGTCTCATTATTGTACACAACGCAGAGAGTGCGAACACCGGTTACAGTGGTGCCGTGACCCGGATGAAGATCAGCTCTTCTGGAATCTTCATCCAAAGATCAATGTCGTTTGGTCGCCGGTGGATGCTGCACTTCGATCAAGGTTTTGATGAACTGTGATAGAGAGCATTGCACTTTCATCAAACTGGACACTTCACTATATCCTTTCTTTATTTCTATTTGAATTTAATATACCTGTTTTCCTGTTTAACATATATATTTTTTGGTAGTTGTTCTCCGATGCTGGTTTATCTATTCTAAAATTTTATTCAATGTTTGATCATTTACATGCCAATAAGTAGTAATGGCATATGGTTTCAAAGCAGACAGTTTTAAGGGTGAGGAGAACATGTCAGATTTAACTTTCGGAAGGGGAAGACTTTTTGCTAATTCATCTACGCCTGTTGCAGGGAGGGGTAGTGTGGGACGAACTTCTGAATTTTGTTCTACCCGGGTAACTGAACAAACACCTAGTCAGTTAAGGAGTAACCCATTTTTGGCTAGCCCAGATTTAAATGATACTGCATGGCAAAATCTCATAACACACATTGCTCAAGAAGTAGGACAGACTTTGATTTCTGTTCAAGGTGGGGGAAGGTATGGGGAAGGAGAAACTAATAATGCACAGACACAGAGTCCAGTTGCTGGTCAGTCATTCACAGAAACACCCTCACTTAATTTGACAGGAGTCAAATTAGTCATGCAATCTGAAGTAAGAGAGCCTCCTGTGTTCCGAGGTGATGGAACAGATAAGTTCACTGTGCATGAGTGGGAGGATTTACTGGACACATACCTTCGTAAAAGAGGCATACCAGCTTCCGAGCATTATCATGAAATCCTTTCCAGGCTGCTGGGTAAGGCCAAAGACATTGTAAAAATAACCCTACGCAGCAACACATCTCTAAAACCTTCTGAGAACCCCAGAGTGATATTCGATATCCTAAAGCAACATTTCAGTGAAGTCAGATTCTCCTCTATGCCTTTAGCAGATTTCTACAGCACAGTTTCCGTTATTGGAGAGAACCCAGTTGAGTATTGGGTCCGGTTGAATAAGGCTGTGGATGCTGCTGAAGAGGCTTTGAAAAGACTTGGGCGACAGATGGATAATCCTTGTCAGGAGGCAGCCATGATGTTTGTCAAATACTGTCCGGACCCCAGCTTGTCAGCCGTTTTCCGTTTGAAAGCAGCAGACAAGTGGACAGCGAGTGAGGTACAAGAGCATCTAGACAGATATCAGGTTGAGCAAAAAGAACAGTTGGCAATTAAATCTAAGCGCAATGTTACAATGAGGAATGTTGCAGTTCACCGACAGTCACTCGTGGAGAATGAGATGATGGCTAGTGGCTCCCCAGTCGTGGCATCTGAACATTCTAACTTGAGTATTTCATCTTCTACACAGAATGATGATAACTGTATGAAAACACTCATCACCTTACTTGACCGTGCGCTCTCCCAGAATTCTCAAGCTGAAATGAGTAGTCCTCGACAGAGCCAACCGCCTACGAGAGCTTGTAAGGTGTGTCGTTCATATGAACATTCAACTCTCTCACACTGCCGACGTCAACGACTCTGTCTTGCTTGCTTCCAACCTGGGCACATAAAAAGAAATTGCGTAAATAGTCAGCATGGCTCTGGCAGCCAGATAACACAGCAATCGCAAGGTTCACCGACTTTAAAATAGTCGACCCACACCTGGAGAGGGGACGTGTGGGTAGGGTAGGACAAACCCTCGAAGATGTAGATCTTAAACAAGTTTATGAGAAGGCATGTGCGCAGGCTCCGGCTGAAGTCAAAGTGATCGCACAGAATATGCAAACTTTAGAAGTGTCTGATGAATTGTTTTATGCACCTGTCTATGTGAATGATAGATTCCAGATAAAAGGAATGTTGGATTCAGGATCTATGGCATGCACTTTTAGTGAAGCGGTAGAAAGTCGGATGCTCTGTGAAGATGTGTTGCCAAAACCCTCACCTTTGTCCCAGGAAATAATGCTAATTGGATGCGGAGGTAAAATAACCAAACCAAAATGCATGTATGAAGTCGAGCTAAAGGTGTATGGTGAAAGATGCTTGGTGCCTGTTCTAGTTGTACCAGGGCAACGAGACGATTTGATAATTGGTACCAACGTTATTAAGTTTCTCATGCACCAAATGAAGATAAGTGATGATTACTGGAGGATTTTGTCTGACAGTGTCTCAGGGCCACCTACGTCATGCGAACAATTCCTTGATGTTATGGCAAATACTTGCCGCTGGAGAGGCGGTATTCCGCCACACAAGGTTGGGACTGTCAAGCTTCGCCAGTCAGTTACTCTAATGGCCAAACAAGAACACCTTGTCTGGGGAAAGTTACCAAGAGACACTGCTATATCGCCTGGAAGCACTGTAATAGTGGAAGCCACTTCTTCTAGAACCATGCCACGGGACATTATCATAGGTCGTGTTGTCACACCCTTGTGGGGAGATCATTGGGTTCCCCTGAAGGTCACTAACCTGTCAGATAAGCCAATCACCCTCAAAAGGAATTGCAAGTTGGCTGATGTGTATCCGTGCCTTGCCGTGGAGGATTTTGAGCTGTTTCAAGGTTTCAGTGGAGTCCAGTTGCCCACACCTGATAAAGATCCACAACCTGTTACTGCAGGGGACCTGAAAAAGAGACTGGAGACTGTTAGTCTCAGTGATGTTGACATAGACTCTTGTTCTGCCAGTGATACGGCAAAGGAAAAGCTAGTCCAATTGCTAGAGACTTACCATGATGTATTCTCCAAACATGCCTTAGATTGTGGGGAGGTCAGAGGCTTTGTTCACCGCATCCACTTAACTGACGATCGCCCATTTCGACTTCCATACAGACGAGTACCACCCGCTCACTACCAAAAATTACGTCAAGTTCTCTCAGAGATGGAAGAGCAAGGAATCATACGTAAATCAGTAAGTGAATATGCCTCACCTTTGGTCTTAGTATGGAAGAGAGATGGCAGCTTAAGGATCTGTACGGATTTCAGATGGCTAAATGCTAGGACTATTAAGGATGCGCACCCACTCCCGCACCAATCAGACTGTCTTGTTGCCCTCGGTGGTAATACCCTCTTTAGCACGATGGATTTAACATCGGGCTTTTATAACATCCCAATGGCTGAAGAGGATAAAAAGTACACCGCATTTGCAACACCTGTAGGTCTTCATGAGTACAACAGGATGCCTCAAGGGTTGTGTAACAGCCCAGCATCTTTCATGCGTATGATGTTAAGTATCTTTGGGGACCTGAATTTTAGTAGTTTGCTGTGCTACTTAGATGACTTGCTGGTGTTTGCACCCGACGAGACCACAGCCTTGGAGCGGTTAGAGATGGTATTCCAACGATTGAGAAGCTACAACCTTAAATTAAGTCCGAAAAAGTGCCATCTGATGCAAGCGTCTGTTAAATTCTTAGGCCACATCGTTGATGGAAATGGTGTTTCCGTTGATCCTTCGAAGGTTGAAGTCATAGCCAAGCTCTCAAAAACTGACCTCATGGAGGAGGACGGGTGTACTCCGTCTGTACGTCGAATAAAGTCTGTCTTGGGAATGATCCTCTATTACCAACATTTTATTCCAAATTGCTCTTCAGTTGCCAGACCATTGTTCTCCCTAACAGCTGGGCAGAAAAGAAGAACAAAATTAAAAACTGAGGCTAAGGCAGGCACATATCGAAAACTGAAGCCAGTTGATTGGACCCCAGAATGTGATGATGCTCTCTCTAAGTTGAAAGAGAGTTTGTTGCAGAGCGTGGTTTTAGCGCATCCCAATTTCTCACTTCCCCTAATCCTGTCAATTGATGCTTCTTTGGAAGGACTTGGAGCTGTGCTGTCACAGATACCAGCTGGTGAAGAAAAAGCACGTCCCATTGCATTCGCAAGCAAGTCCTTAACCAACTCTCAAAGGAGATATCCAGTGCACAAGCTCGAGTTTTTAGCCCTAAAGTGGAGTGTGTGTGAAAAATTCAGTCACTGGTTAAAGGGCCACACATTCACAGTGTGGACCGACAATAACCCCCTCACTTATATATTAACAAAGGCTAAACTCGATGCTTGCGAACAGCGCTGGGTATCTAAGCTTGCTGCCTATACTTTTGATCTCAAGCATATTGCTGGAAGTAAAAATACTGTAGCTGACGCTTTAAGCCGGGATCCGTTTGCGCGAACCATTGCTCGTAGGCTCATAACCGAGCAATATGGGAGTCTGCTTTCTGAGGCTGAAACTGTCGACAAAGATGGAGTTCAGGACACCTTCCGTTTGCAAGCAAACAATCTATATGTGTCAACTCTGACAAGCCCAGTTTCCTGTGATCAAGTGACAGTTAAAACTCTTTTGAACCTATCGGAGCAGTGGAAAGCTGTAACTGAGCTAAGGGCTATGCAAGTAATCCAATATATCCAAGATGCAACGACTACTGGATTTGATCCAGTTTCAGCGATCCCTATCGAAGAGATTCGTCGGGGTCAAGAAGCAGATCCCTCGATTTCTAAGATAATGCCCTATCTGGAGAAGCAAAGAAGGCCATCAAGACGAGAGGTGGTTGCAATGGATGCTGTGACTCAAATTCTTCTTAGGCAACTAGATCGTTTGAAGGTTCAAGATGGAGTAGTTTACCGTGTTTGCAAGGACCCATCAAGCACACACAAGAGGTTCCAACTTGTAATGCCTAGTAGCCTTAAGGCTAGAGCCTTAACTGGTGTGCATGATCTTGCTGGACACCAGGGAAGGTCAAGAACTCTTCAACTAGCTCGACAACGCTTTTTCTGGCCTCGGATGGAGCGTGACATAAGAGAGTATGTTAAATGTTGTCAGAGGTGCATATTGGCCAAAACACCAGAGCCATCTGCTCGAGCCCCACTTGAGAACATCAGGACTTCAGCCCCTATGGAGTTAGTGTGTTTGGATTTTTGGAGTGCGGAGGACAGCAAGCAACGCTCTGTGGATGTATTAGTCGTGACGGATCACTTTACAAAGTTGGCCCATGCTTTCCCATGTGTAAACCAGAAAGCAAAACAAATTGCAAAAAAACTGTGGGATCATGTCTTCTGTATTTATGGTTTTCCATCTCGCATTCATACAGATCAAGGGACCAACTTTGAAAGTACCCTCATCGCAGAGTTGCTTAAGCTGGCAGGTGTTGAGAAGTCGCACACTACGGCATACCACCCCATGGGGAACGGAGGAACAGAGCGATTCAATCGGACCTTGGGCAATATGCTTCGCTCCTTGCCTCTTAAGGAAAAACAGAAGTGGCCCGAACAAATACAGACTTTGACATTTGCGTATAACTCCACCGTGCATGAGACCACGGGTTATGCGCCATTCCAGTTAATGTTTGGTCGCATTCCCAAGCTGCCAGTTGATGTTGTATTTGCGCAAGCATTACATGATCCCGTGATTGTTGATTATGGCAGTTACGCAAAAACACTTATGTCTTACCTTCATGAAGCTGCATGCATTGCGCAGAAACACACAGAGAAGGAGCAGAAAAAGCAGGCTAAGAATTACAATCGGAAGGTCAAGGGCATGTGTCTGAACGTTGGAGATAGGGTGCTTCTTGCAAACAAGAGTGAACGAGGAAAGAAAGTGGGATCCAACTGTTTATACTGTAAGAGACAGAAATCTTCAAACAAACATATACAAGCTGGTTGACAACAATGGAAAATGCAAAGTGGTGCATCGCAACCTGATACTGGATATTAGCTTCTTACCAATTGAACAATCTCAAGATGAAGAAGATACTCAGCCTACTGCTGAGAATGAGGAAACAGAGTCTCATGCACCAGAGTTATCCAGTTTGGAAGAGGAAGAGAACTTTGATGGAACGGAAGGATGGATACTTGATGGACAGGATGAGAGTGAAAGACAAAAGCCTGAAGAAGATGATGACATAGGATCCAGTTGTTCTAATCTAAGTGAAGGCAGTTTCTGTGAACAAGACCTTAATGCAACTGAAGTCAATGAGGGTAGTCCTGATCCGGTGTCCGATTTAGAAACTGCGTCCTTCGCCAAAAACTCTGAACCACGACCACATACATTAAACGATCCAGATGATAACACCATATCTAACGCACCAACACATTGTCCCACTGACACACAGGGTGTTAAAACCCGTGCAGGTAGAATGGTAAAAAAAGTTAGCCGCTTGATAGAATCTATGGCGCAAAGGCCATTTTATGTTCAGAGGGTTGGCTCACTTTTAACAAGGAGATCAGGATCAGTTCTTTCCTTATTTTAAATCAGTTTTGTGATGATGCAAAAATAACAATTAAGTATGTGCGCCGTAAGAATTTCAGTTAAAATCTTACCAGATTATTGTATGTTGTACAAGGCAGCATATTGTTCTAAGAATGTCTAGGACTTGATCAACCTTGGGCTTTTCTTAACCCGTTAAGTGGGTAACTTGCAATGTTGAACTGCGAATAAGATTTGCTAAAAATCTGGTTATGATAGATCGATGTCATCTCGGTCAGGATATTAGTGAAATTCAGGAGGGGTGAATGTGACGGGTGTTAATAAGAGTATTAATTTAATGCATTTCACTAATAGTCCCTCCTTTTTAATTTTCGTGCATTTGTTTTGCATCAATTTGTTTAGACATATGTTAGAATTTAGTTTTTACTCTATTTGTGTTGTTTAATGAAAATAGTTTTATATTTGTTTTGCGCGCAACGTTACTTCCGGTTGCCGCGCTACGTCACTTCCGGTTGCCGTGCAACGTCACTTCCGGTTGCCGCGCTGGGTTCTCAGACCGCATTGAGCGCGCCGAGGAGAGGTGAGCTTTTAATGGTGCTCCAAGGAAAATCGTTCTAAAAGTTGTCAGAACTTTAAATAAGCTTTAAATATGCGATTGTATTGTTTGTAAGAGTGTTCTATATTAACTAGGAAGTACTTTTCTTCATGTGGATGGATAAAATTAATCACTTTACTGAGCACAGTTGATTGAGTATGTGTGTATAAGTATGTATACTGGACACAGTGATTTCGAATGACCTTCTAACACTTTGTAACTGCTATTTATTTGTTAGGTGGGGAAATTTACAAACGAAATCATATCAACTTACTGTGCTGTTTTCTGATTCATCCAGGTATTGTTTTATGTACATTTATGCTTCTTTGTGTTTACATTTGTTTCGCAATTACATTAATTTCTAATATAAAGTTAGATAGGGGAAGATTAATTAATATCACAATGTATGGAACTGTAATCATTTGTTATTTTTATTTATTTACTTTTTGTACTTTTGTGATCTGTTTACCCAGTTTTAATTGGGTATGATGTTATTGTTATGTTTGCTCAGACCGCATTGAGCGCGCCGAGGAGAGGTGGGGAAATTTACAAACGAAATCATATCAACTTACTGTGCTGTTTTCTGATTCATCCAGTTTGCTCTGATCTGACGCTTGAGTGACAATAAACCCACCATCAGCAGTACCAGTGGCCTGTCTCATTATTGTACACAACGCAGAGAGTGCGAACACCGGTTACAAATACAGTAGTAAATGTATTGTTCATTGTTTGTTCATCTTAGTAAATGCATTAATTAACATTGACTAATGAACATTAATGCCAAAGTGTGACCCAAATATTTGTTGCATTTTTCAATTGTTTAAGTTCATTTGATTGACAATGTAAAATCTTTTAGCAACGTTTAATGTTTCATTGTTGAGGTTAACATTTTTAAGGTCTCTGACACATTGCATTTATTATTTATCTTTATTTCATTAATTAACATTAACTTTGTGGGTCAGCAGGCAGTTTTTGTCATGTTCATTATTTATTAGGCTCCCTCAAAACACACAGACACCCACATTTCCAGTGTGGATTATAATTTTATTATAATAATAAAAAAAATAACTTTTAAATTTTCAACTCTCGTTATTTCCTATGTATGGCTTTTGTGGTTTTATAGAGTGGGAGTTGGTAAACATATTCAAGGGCGTGGGGTGATGGGGAGCATTTTGATTGATGTAGTGGGCCACTCTGGATATAGTGGGCAACTCCCAATTCATCCCTGCAATTAGTACAATTGTTTGTATTCAAAACTTTATTATTATTATTATAATTTTTCATTTTTCATATCTGTAATGCCTGTATTTTGGCATTTTTTTGCAGTTCACTTAGAATCCAACATGGAAAACAGTGTTTTCTTTATTGGCATTGATTGTTTTGAAATTCAAATGGCATTAAAATGCCTGTGTTTTTATTTCTGTAATAAATATGGCCGTCAAGCCAGGATCTTGATGGTTTATTGTGGGTATGTTGTTTACATGAAGAAATCTGTGTTACAAGTTAAACAAAAATTCTAATAATGAATTATATTTTGAATTTAAAAAAGTATTTGTCTTGCGTTTACATTAATTTTACATTCGAATAGCCAAAATTACAAGTTTCTGTCTTTTAAATGCGATTAATCGCAATAATTTTTTAAAAAAGTGTGATTAATTAGTTATTTTTTTTAATCGATTGACAGCACTAATATATATATATAAATATATATACATATATATACATGTGCACATGAAACACCCCCTACATATTCACACGTGATACACTCTAAACATATACACATGATACACTCTATACATATACACTCCATACAACACACAATATACACTCCATACATATACATACATGAAACACTATTTATACACACATGGTACACTCCGTACATATGCACACAATACACTCTATACACACACATGATGCACTCCATATATATGCACAACTGATCAGGCCCGTGCAGAGACCAAAGGGCATGTGCAGGATAATTTTTTTTATAGCAGGGGGGTGATAGGGTTGTCGCGCGCGTACTAAAGAGCGGTGTTGTCGCGCGCGTTCTGATCAGCTGTGTTGTCGCGCGCGTACTCAAGAGCGGTGTTGTCGCGCGCGTTCTGATCAGCTGTGTTGTCGCACGCGTACTCAAGAGCGGTGTTGTCGCGCGCCTACTGAAGGGCGGGACCAAGGGTGTGTTGCGTCGCGGGGGCACTTTTGATCATTTTGGAAGGGCACTTTCTATCCAAGACTAAAAAGGGCATGTGCACTGCACAGGTTGAGCCCTATGTGTGCACGTGCCTGCAACTGATACACTCCATACATATTCACACTTGACACTTTATGCATATGCACACGATACACTCTATACATATACACACGTGATGCACATCATACAAATACACATGACAACTTCCATACTTATCATGCACACACGATACACTCTATACATATACACACAATACATATTTACACTTGACACTGTATTAATATGCACACCATACATATACACACGTGAAACACTCCATACAAATGGCACCTTCAATACTTGTACACACTTGATACTCTTCATACAAATGCACAATTGACACTTTTTACAAATGATACACTCCATACTCATCCAAATATGATACATTCTATATATATAGGATGCACTCTACATATACACACTTGATACACATATATACATGATAAATCCATACAAATTCACAATTGAAACTCTATACATATAGCACATAATACATCCGGCCAAGGTCTGGGATAGAACCCAGGTCTCTGGCATGAGAGGTGAGTCACATTACCGCTGGGCTACTGGAAGTCGAACTATACCTTGTACATATACACATGAATCATTCTATACATATACACACGTTAAACACTCCATAGAAATACACAAGTTACATTCCAAACTTTTACACACATGATACTATTCATACATATGCACACTTGACACTCTATACATGATACACTCTACACATATGATACACTCCACACCCAATACATTGTATATACACATGATACACTCCTGTCCTGGGATAGAACCCAGGTCTCTGGTGTGAGAGGTGAGTGACAATACTGCTGAGCTGCTGAATGATGCATTCTCTGCTTATACACTCTTTTCATATAAACACGATGCACTCTGCACACATGATACAAGACACCTTCCAAACTTATACACACATGAAACACTCTATACATATTCACACATGATACACTCCAAACATATGCACACAATACATTACACATGATACACACATGATCCATTCCTGTCAGAGTTTGGGATAGAACCCTGGTCTCTGGTGTGAGAGATGAGTGACATTACCGCTGAGCTACTGGAAGTTGAATAATACATTCTCTGCTTATACACTCTACACATACGCATACACATACGCAAACCCTGTATATATACACGCGTGATACACTCTATACATATGCGCACATGATACGCTACATACATACGCACACATGATACACTCTATACTTACACACATTATACATATACACATGTGAAACACTCACACTCACATACAAAAACACATGACACCTTCCATACTTTTACATACATGATACTCTTCATTCAAATGCACACCGACACTCTATACATAAAATACACTCCATACATATGCACACAGGATAAACTCCTGTCAGGGTCTGGGATAGAACCCAGGTCTCTTACATGAGAGGTAAGTGATATTACCACTGAGCTACTGGAAGTTTAGTGTAACAGTCTGTGCTTATACACTCTAAACATACACACACCTTGTACATATACACATGAAACACTCTAAACATATACACACATGAAACACTCCATACTAATACACATGACACCTTCCATACTTTTTCACACATGATACTCTTCATACATATGCACACTTGACACTCTATACATATACACACGATACACTCTATACATTTACACACATGAAACACTCTATACATGTGCACACACAAAACACTACATACATACACACACAAGGTAAGCTTTATACACTTTAGATATTCACACTTGACACTATACAAACACATATATAATACACTCCATATATATACACTCTATACATATTCACACTTAACACTCTATACATATGCACACATGAAACATTCCTGTCAGGGTCTGGGATAAAGCCACACACGTGAAACACTCCATACAAAAACATATGACACCTTCCTTACTTTTACACACATGATACTCTTCATTCAAATGTCCACCAACACTCTATACATAAAATACACTCCATACTTATGCACACATGGTACACTCCTGTCAGGCTCTGGGATAGAACCCAGGTCTCTGACAAGACAGTAAGGTGACATTACCACTGAGTTACTTGAAGTTGAGTGATAAAGTCTGTGCTTATACACACTATACATACACACACCTTGTACATATACACATGAAACACTCTATACATATACACACATGAAACACTTTATACAAATACACATGACACCTTCCATACTTTTACACACATGATACTTTTCATACATACGCACACTTGACACTCTAGACATAAAATACACTCCATACATGATACACTATACTTTTGCACACAAAATACATTCTTTATACGCATGATACACTCTATATATACACACTCGGTACACTTTATACATACACACACACACATGGTATACACACGATACACTCCATACTTATGCACACATAATACATTCTATACATACACATGATACGTACACACACACACACACACACACACACACATAATACTCTTCATATATATGCACACTTGACACTTTACACATACACACACGTGAAACACTCCATATATATACACATGACACCTTCCATGCTTTTGCACACATGATACTCTTCATGCATATGCACACTTGACACTCTATACATAAAATACATTCCATACATATGCACACATAATAGATTCTATATACACATGATACACTCCATAAATATTAACACTATTTACATATGCATACATGAAACACCTTATACATATACACACAAGGTACACTCTATACATATTCACAGTTGACATCTACACACATTACACTTTACGCTTATTTGAAACAATCCTGTCAGGGTCTGGGATAGAACCCCGGTCTCTGGTGTAAAAGGTAATTGACATTACTACTGAGCTACTGGAACACTCTTGTTATGCATGCAAAAACTGATACAAGACACCTTCCAAACCTATACACACATGCAACACTTTATACATATGCACACAATAAACTCTATACATGTACACACATAATACACTCCATATATATATATATATATATATACATACATACATACATACATACATACATACATACATACATACATACACACACACACACACACACACACACACACACACACTCTAAACATATTCACACTTGTCACTCTATACAGATGCACACATGATACATTTTATACATATACATATACACACATATTTCATACCTGTTAAGTTTCATGCCAGTACTCTGGTTTGCTCTCTCACTCTCTTTGTGTGTGTGTGTGTGTGTGTGTGTGTGTTAAAGAGCCGCAGAGCTAACAGCTGACAGGCCGGGAACACACAAACACACTGTATTTCTGACGGCAGACACGTGAACTAGGAGAACGTTTTTCTCGTATTTCTGACACGCTTGAACCACATGTGACAGATTTTTTTAACGGCTTTAACAGACAGATT